TATCACGATGCACTCTTTTCCTTGACTGATCTTTTTCCCCATTATAAGAGCATGAAAAGGGGTTTTTGGTCAGCAAGGTTCTTAATAAGGCATCAATTCATCAATGAATATACATTCCACACTTAAAGTTGTCTGATATTTAAATTATTTTACAAGTCTTTCCTCCTGAGATCTCTCTCGGCCAAGGATGTGGCTTACGGTTCAAATTTTACAAGTCTTCCCTCCCGAGATCTCTCTCGGCCAAGGATGTGGCTTATGGTTCAAATTTTACAAGTCTTCCCTCCTGAGATCTCTCTCGGCCAAGGATGTGGCTTAGTTATGTTGATAAGTGTTTACTTCGTTCATTAAATTTAGTATTGCTCAATACAATCAATGAAAAACCAAATTAAAATTTCATTAACGGCTCTAACGGCCGAGCAGTACATTAAAAGGGCACTATCGGCCCATCCCTACAAAGAGCTTAACAAAATCTAAGACGCCACCTCTGGTTCCCCCTGGACCGGACCATCTTCTGGCGCACCCTCCTCATACGTCGTCTCCTCATTCAGCCCAGCTGGCTGTGCCGGAGCCTCCTCGTCGGCTTGTTGGCCTTGAGGGATGGAGGTTAAGTCCACCAGCTTGCCTTAGAAGAAATCCTTGGTCATATCAAGGTGAAACTCAGCAGGGAAGTCGCCAAAGAAGCAGGCATGCCGAGACGCTTGGGCAAACCCAGCCTGATGCTGAGAGAGGACCTTGTTGCGAGCCTTCTCCCTATAGGCACCGAAAGCCAGCTTCTCAGAGTCCAATTCCTTGGCCAGTATAGCGCCCTTCTCTGTCTCATTCTTCAAGGCCAGCTCAAGACGTTGGACCTTCAAAGCCAAGTCATTAGCAACTCGCCCCCAGCGATCCAGCTCGGCCTGAAACTTACCATTGGTCGTTTGGGCGTCAGTAAGCACCGCCAATGTCTCTTGAAGAGACTTCTCCTGCTCTGCCAATTGCCGACGCAGTCCATCGGCCTCACCATTTGGCTCCATCACAATGCTCTGTGCCAAGGCCACCGCTTGCACTTGGAACTCGCAGAAGAAGCCCCATTTTTTAGCTGAGCTCATCCGGCTCAGCAACCCTTGACCTGATTCTGAGGTCAAATCCTGGCTTAGAAAATCTTGGGCATTGACGTTGTCGGCCAAGAAGCTTGGCCCAACCAAACCCTGCGAAACGGTCGGGTTGGCCAGGCATTGTTGCTTTGCACGGCGGCTTTATTCCTCGGCCCTGGTGTCCGAGGGCCTTCTTTTTTCACTAGGCCTAGACGGCCCCTTGCCTCCCTTTGTCACCTTGGGGGCCGATCCCGTACCGCCAACTTGAGCGACTGAAGTGTTATTTCCACCCACGTGCCCTTCAGTCGGGGTTCTTGTAGTCGTCGCCGCTGCCACTTGGCTACCGATCAAGCGACGAATATCCAAGTTATCATCCGCATAATTCGTCATGATACATGCACATCATTAGTCAAAATCAATGATAACGTAAGAATCTAAACAAGTAGGAAAGGTACTATACCAATCAATTCTTCGACTATGTCGACCGATTCGTACAATCGGACCATAGGTCGGCATGATAAAGGCCGAGGCAGCTTCTCCAAAAAATTTAAACTCGCTCTCTCCTCCGGGGACATGCGAGACTTAGACACCGTGTCGTACTTCCTCGGCTTCCGAGTCCAATACAACGGAAATAGTGAATTCCCTTCGGCATCAAAGAAATATTTATTCCCTGTCAGGGGCCGAATCATCACCTTTATAAATCCTACTTTAAAATTCTTGTAGGACGTGGTAAAAGGTTGCAACAAACAATCGTTGTGCCAAACCAACGACAACCATTTAACCTTCTTCGTCGACCGAAACGAGTAATGATATAAAAATAAATGCGTGGTTGGCTTAATCTTGACTACGAGGCAAAGCTGTCGAAAACCTTGCATGGCTACCCAAGTATTTGGATGAAGTTGACTCGGGGCCACGTTCAGAAGCAGTAGTATACCCATAAAATAATCATCAAAAGGAAGAGTTATCTTCAAATCCCGGAACATGTAATCGTACACATAAAAAAACTGGTATTTTCACGACCCTTGATTCAAATACACGAAGTCTGGATTCGGCCCTCCATCGCCTCAGCACAGCTGAAAGAAGATGGGAGAGGGTTCCTCTTCCTCAGGGAAGGTCAAGAATTTCACCGCCGATACGAAACGAACAATAGAATTCTTATCGGTATACCGGGAATACACGTTGCCAACCTCCCCGTGCACCCACGAATACCCAGGGGTCCCTATGGGAGGAAAATGCCTGGAAGCCCCGGCACCCCTGCTCGGATGATCATCAGAAACTATGGCCGATGAAGACTCACTCCCACTCTGCGATCGTTCAGACCCAGAAATGGACTCTACATTATCTTCTCCATTGGAAGTCGAGGCTGATACGTCGTGTCGGTCCGGCACTGCCCGCGACCCAGCACCGGTAGAATCACCTGTGTCCCCAGAGGAGTTAATCTGAACAACATATACATCTACCATGTTAACGTACCTAGGAGTAGAGCTTGAGCTTGATCGGTCTAGATGAAAGGATGCTTGAACGTTGTAGTTGCACTAACTTCGGCTCAGAGCAAACAATAAACGCGTATCTTTTGGGACCCCCCACACGCCTATTTATAGATGCTCCTTGCTACCACATCGAACGCCACACCCCTTCGCACACCGTTGGATCAATTAGATCCAATGTTCCACAATGCGCAACCCTTTGCATTCCGCCAGCGGTTGTAACCCTTAGCATGTCATCAACGCCCAATAGTTACAACCCCTCGCATTCTGCCAAGCAGTTGTAACCCTTAGCATGTCATCAATTCCCAACGGTTACAACCCTTTGCCTTCCCCCAAAGAGGGAAACTCTTCGTATCCCAAGAATACACACATTTATAACCAATTCTTGCAAATAAATCATTAAATTTACCCTTTGTGTCGTTCCACTCCTGAAGGCTGGGGGGCTTGTGTACCAGAGGGATCCTATTGGTCACGTGGACCAACACGTGCCGTTTCGTTAGACACCCACGCGGACTAAAGGCAACCACGACCATACATCAACCTTGACTCTAACATCGGCTCGGCATACGACCGAGGGCTGAGAAGAATCCACAAGCAACCTCGGTTCGGTTTAAGACCGGTAACAAGTACCATGTCCCCATATGCCCTACATATCGGCTCGGCCTAATGCCGACCCGGTAGGATAGCAACAATACCTGTCGGCCCGGGCAAAGGCCGAAGACATCCAACACCCCAAGCCTTTACCTGTCGGCTCGGCAATGAGTCGAGGGATAAAACAAGGATTATGGCTATAACCACGATTAATCAAGACAAACACATGATTAAGACATAATCAGCCGATTAGCATCGTATTACCTAATTTGGTAAGCTTTAGAAGAGGCCCACCACTGACAGGGCCCATAAAAGGTAGTATAAATAGGTCACTTATAATGAGGTACGTCACTGTTCATTTTGGATTACCCTAGAAAATCGTGCATGTGCTAACTTGAGCGTTGAAGTGCCTTTTACAGGTACATCCCCCCTCCGAAGTATCTACCTGAAGCTCCAGTTCGGCCCTTCATCTCCCAGAAAATTACGAGTGTACCTTAAGACAAGTACAGATTAGTTACTTTCCTCGTTTAAAAGCAGGATTTTTTTCACTGATTTGAAATATTATATATAGGAATTGAATTCAATGCAAGTCACCAAGTTTACGACTCATACATTACTCAACAAATTGAGTAAGAAATTAATTTATAATAAAGATAAAAACGATGCGTCATTTATAATAGAGTATTTTTTATCATACATCTCACTCTCTTGCATTGTACATTTATCTCTTTTTTTTCTTTTATGTTAATCTTTCAATATTTTTGTTTTATAACATACGTAATATAGAAATTGTTACTAAAAATTACTTTTTACTTATATAATAAATATAATATATATTAGTATATTTTTAAAACTTATGAGATACATAAAATATATTATTAAATTTTATTTAAAATTAATATTAAAATCATATATAATCATATATTAAATAAATATATTTTTATATATATTATACCTATAATAATACTTTCTGTATGTTATTCTTTTTACTTTTTTATAATATTTTTATCATATCATATATCATATTTATTCTTTCTCTCAATTATTTTTTCTTCTTTTTTTTTTTCTTTATCTGACATGACTCGTGTCTCATTCCCTTTCGGCATTAATAATTACTTACTTTCAATCTATACCCAAAATGACAGCACAATGGATTGATCCGTGTGTAGTAGCACAAATGGCGTGTTGGGAAAAAATAATTTTAAAATAATAGCGTGTTGAAAAAACGATTTACATATGAATATTTTAAAATGAAAAATAAATAGAAACAACATTTTTCTATGAAAGTATCATATAACAACAAACCTAATGTTTTATTTTATTTAATTATTTTACCAAAACCTTAAAAATGGACACGACACAATTTTATACAAAATCATAATCAAATCATCATTATTTTGAAAATTTCCTATGAATAGTTTATTTTATACCCAGTGTATGTTACTACGAAAGAATATAAAATATAAGAAAAAAGTTAAATTTGATCACAAATTTTAACTAATAAAAACGAATAGACTTAATAAACCGGTCATCCGCTTATATTAAAAAAGCAAACCATAATAATATTAATAATAAAATTTAAAAAATAAATAATGAAACTTGTTATCAATAAGGTATATTTTTAACCATTGCAAAATAACAATTTTGTTATTGTAAATTACATTAAAATTACAAATTACAAATTGAGTAACCGACTTTTGTTTATTTGCGAGGAATACATGTTACTAAAATTAGAATTCTCCAAGGAAATATGATTAGGTTCTTTCTTATTTTTGGCTTATCGAAAATGGACCCCATAGTTGAAATAGTTGTCAGGAGTGGGTATGTTAGGGTCTATATAAGTTGGACATGGTTGCAATATTCTTCTCATTTCTCATACCTGCTTATTTGTTTGTTCCATTACTTGCTTCTTTCTTTGATCGATCATGTCACTTGCTGGTAAAATCACCTCTGAAATTGGGGTTCATGCAACCGCTGCCAAGTGGTTCAACCTCTTTGCCACACAACTTCATCATGTTCAAAACCTCACTGATAGGGTTCATGCTACCAAGCTGCATCATGGTAATGACTGGCATCACAATGAGTCCGTCAAGCACTGGACTTACATCATAGGTAATTAAACTTCTAACTATATTAGCAAGGAAACGAAAAATGGGTAAATTAATTTTTTTCATCGAATATATTTTAGTTTTATAATACTCTTAGTTTTATCACACAACTCATGCATTAATTGATATATATATTTATTCTAGTTTATCTAATAACTACTATTTTATTTTGTGTAATACATAGACATATTAATTATACAAGATATAATTAAAATTTATAATAAATATATAAAAAATACTATATTTAAGTGTATAAGTTATATTTAAAATAAGTATACATAAATATTTTAAATATATAAATTATATTTTAAATTTATAATAAATAATTTATATTATAAAAAAGTATTTTTATTTATTAATAATTTATTTTAAAATATTAATATATTAATTAATAAATAATTATTATAAATAAAAATCGAATTAAATAAGAAGTTAAAAAAAATTACAAATTTTTTCGTTGAAAAAAAGTCTAAAAACATTCTTGTATGGGATATAAATTTGTATTTAATATGTAGGAGTTGATTTATGTATACAAAATATTCTGAAAAAAGATTATATTATTGATGTTATCCATTTTGAGAATAATTACCGTTCATATGTCTCTTACCAAAAGAAAACATATCAATTTTAGTTTTACTTACTTTCTCAGTCTCACATTACTGCAGTTTCAATATTTAGAAACGGTCTTAAAATAATGAATAATAGTCTCACATTTTCATATAACATTAATTAATTTTATTTAATTTTGTTTTTTATAAAATATTTAATCACCACAATTAAAAATAATATATTTATTGAGAGACTAGATTATTTTAATAAAATTATATTATATTAAAATTCATTTATGTATTTGTGTGTATAATTCTTACAAAATGTATTTGTTATTGGTTTTGATTGCTTGTGAAACAACAGATGGCAAGGTTACAACATGTCAGGAGAGTATTGAATCTGTTGATGCAGCGAACAAAACAATTGTCTACAAGCTCTTTGGTGGTGACATAGATCGCCAGTTTAAGGTCTTTAAGTTCGTCTTTCAAGCAATTGATAAGGGTCATGGTGCTATTATCAAATGGACCGTTGAATATGAGAAGAATGCTAATGATGTTGATCCTCCATATGGCTACGTCGAATACTTCCACAAGTGCACCAGTGACATTGATGCTAATCTTCTCAAGGCATAGCCCCAAAAATTATGTATAAAATAAAATAAGAAATTATGGGGTTGGCCTTGTGATGATAAGTGCTTATATGTATAATAATCTGTGTGAGGTTTGGCGAGAAGGATGCTTATGTGTTGATCCTTCCTCGCATTGAATAAACTTTGGATATGCATGTCGGTGTTTTAAATTATATGTTAAAGTGTTATTGTGATGCATATGTAATGGATATTTATGCTTCACATAAATACATACTTTCGTCCAGTTCTATATTTTGTTTCCCAATTGTTTATTAAGTTTGATTTGCAAAATCTTCACACGTACGTATTAATGAGCAGGGATGTTCAAATTTGAATCAATCCAAACGAAAAATTGCAAGCTGATCTATAAGATTGAAAACTGGTTAAAAATTGCATATTTTTAGTTTGGTTTGATTTTTTAATTTTCAAAATCACATTATTCAATTTGATTTTTGAATTGAGATGTGAAATCACTCTAAATCGAATCAAATCACACTTATTTATAGATATATTTTTTTCAAATGTATAATGCATATGTATAAAATTGACATATAACATAAAAAATGTTTTATAAAATTATAAGCTACTAAAAGATGTTGTTTTTTATGTTATAATATTTAAAATGTATTTTATAAAATTGTAGACTATTTATTGGAAAAAACCTAAGATTCATATCGATTAGAGATAAGATAATTAAATAATATATATATATATATATATATATATAAGTGAAATTACAAGTCAGTTTTGTAGGATTAAGTTAAACTCAAATCCACTATTCTAAGATGGTATCAAAGTTATTCTAGATTCTTAAAAATGGGTCACCCACCATTGATACATGCACCATGAGCATGAAGGGGTACATTGAAAAAAAAAAAACTTAAGTCCTGCCAATCCCCTATATCATTAAAAAGGGGTCACCTACCATTATTTATCCACGTACTAGAGATTAGGCAATTAAATAGTATATAAATGAAAAATAATCCTCATCATACAAGTCGATTTTGTAGGGTTGAGTTAGGTTCAAATCCATTATTCTAAAATGGTATCAGAGCTATCCTAGATCCTTAAAACTGGGCCGCCTAGACTCATCAAATCCACTATTCTAAGACTACTAAACTAAATTTTAAAATAAAAAATTTATTAGTTATTTATAACATTCCAAAAAAAATATTAAGTGAAAATATATATATATATATATATATAAGAAAAAATATTTAATATGATAATTCAAAATTATATTAAAGAAATACTTTTATTAAAATAATAAAATAAGAATTAATGTTAAATACATTAAGTGATCAACATATTTTACTATTTGTATACTTTTAATTTTATTTTTGACTTACGATATTAAACAACTAACATAATATTACATGATTTTAGTTAATTTTTAGAATTAAATATATTTTTAATCCTTCAAATTTAAGATGAATTTTTTTTCCTAAAATTTAAAATTAGTTTTTTTAGTTCATATAATTTCAAAAAAAAATCTTATTTTAGTCTTTTTACTTAAATTTTGTTAAAAAATCTCTCAAATATTGTCACAAAATCTATATACCAATGTCCTGATTAGTGAAAATATCACACTAAACTCAGTTCATACTACATAACTATTTTAATCTCTCAGGAGAAAATAAATAAAACTATATAATGAAAACACAGTGGTTATGTAATTACAGTGACATTTAATTTATTTTATTTTCTTCTGAAATTGTTTTGAGCGGTGCATTGGATTTTGCGGTCCTAATCTGATCTGATTTCCTGGATAATACAAATCTACTAGTCAATCAAATCCTCAATCTTCAATTTATTATTTATATATATCAACTATGAGGAGTGCTTTCTGAATCATAAAACATGATTTAAGTTAAAGGGATTTGGGTTAATCTTACAAGCAACTTCCTTCTATGATTTAAAGTAAAAGAATAATTAATGTTAAATAAAATGTACAGATTTTAATAATATGTATATTTCAATTATATGTGAAAAAGTTATCGTACACCAGCATCAAAAAGATTGTTATGATCACTATTTTTTAAAGATAAGTGGTGTTCTTACTGGAAATCTGTCGTAGAGCTGATCCGCCGGGTAAGATTGATGAGCCTCCTTTGCTGGGTGTATTGGTGCTCCGAGATGGGGGAGGTACCTGCAAAAGAGACTCCGATGCTAAAGTTAGGGTTTGTATGAGTATGAGTCTCGTATATATGTAATGCACATACCTTTGTGTCAGTTAGGGTTGTCTTGGGCCTGAGATAAGATATGATATGATACGATATCCTATCATATGATATGATCACGTTGTGACATAATATGGCATAATTGGAGAACGGTTTTGGCCTGGGACGAGATCTCCGGGCTCGGGCGTGGTCTGTCCGGATTTCGGGCTGACGTTGTTCAACGCGTGTCCGGGATGACCCTTATAATGTCAACCCGGGCTGAGAGCCCGGGTGCGAAATGCGGTCAGTACACTAGCCCCCCGAGCTCCGAAGGCCGTAGGCCGAGGAGTTAAGGTCGGGCTCGTGAGAGGAGAGGTGGCTTTGCGCGTACGCTAGCTGGAGGCTCGCCACGTGTCGCGACTGTTCATGCTCTGGAGACGTTTGATTGACGTATTGGGGGCAGTGACGGTTTTTTAATGATGGTTTGGTAATAAGTGTGTCGTCGGGTGTGCCTTTCAACTGACACGTGTCGCGTCGGTTTTGAATTTCGGGGAGAGTTTTAGCCTTTCTCTCTTCTCGCGCCTCTTCCCTGTCTTTCTTCTGACTTCTCAAGTACGAGAGTTTTTCTTGGTTCCCTTTACCTCCTTTCTCTTTTGCGCTTCCGTCGCCGTCGTCGTTTCCGGTAGTCCCTTCTTTGGTAGGGTTGTTTTCTGAGGAGGAGTACCAAGTACTTCCTTTTTATTTGCTTCTTCTCTTTTTTCATGGCCGGTGGAAGTGGTGCCGGATCCTCTGCGTCTGCCAGGGGCAAGGCGCGTGGCAAGGTGGTGGCCGCCGGAAGGTTCACTATTGAGAAGAAAGATTCGCCGCCCCCTAGGGGTCCAGAGCCGGGCGTTCCTAGTTATGACTGGGTCAAACGCGAGGTGGCCGAGGCTCAGAGCATTTTCGCTCTTTCCTTGAAGTGAATGCGTTTCAGAGGGCGCATAGGGTTTGCGATTCCTCCATTTCCCACATGAATTAGCTTGCAAGTCCAATTGGGATGTTCCTGATCAATGTTTAGAGTTTATTATACATATGCTTTTGGATGTAACACCCATAAAAGGGAGTTTGCCAAAAAGTTATTATGATGCCAAACGATTAATAGCAAAACTAGAATTGGAAGCTAAGAGGATGATTGTTGTGTGGTAGTCTTCATATAACGTAAGGTGGCATAGAGACTTGAGGATGAGGAACAGATAAAGTAATTTTTTTACTCAAAGGCCTCTCATAAATTGTTTGATATGTTTAGTGAAGCTCGAAAAATAGGTAAAAGGCCATTCTAGGCTAGACAAGATGTGTGGAACCAACTGGTAGCACATTGGAATTCAACTGCTTTTCGATCAAAGTCTACACAAGCCTCACTAAATCAAGCATCTAAAAAGGGCGGGACTCTTCATACAGGTGGCTCAATTACAATTCATGATCATGCCAAACGCATGGTATGTATAAATTAAAATTTTCTTTTAGATTTTTATAACTTTACAACTTCAAATTAACTTATTTCCCATCAATGCATTATTTTGCAGGCAAGAGAATTTGGTTGCTCAGTACATATTGATGAGGTCTTTCAATAGACCCACATACGAAAAGAAACTAGAGAGTTTGTTGATGAAAGATCTAAGAAAACATATGTAAGTTATTTAAATAATTATTCTTGTTAATTTTAATCATGTTTACAAGATTAGTAAAATAATGCCTTTGTTTGAATAATAAGAAGACTTTCTCAATAAATTTTTTCAAGCTATGTTTGAGGCTGCATCATCTGTTCATGAATCACATCCTATGGAGCCTAGTTTGGAGGATACAATTAAGTCTAAATGTTGGTCTGATGTAGTTGGTGGCATGACCACTAAGGGGCGATTGTAGGGAGCTGGAGACCTTGCTTGTGATTTTAAAGATACACAGAGCAGTCGTCTCAAGCTTAAAAGGAAAGTATATTATAGTAATTCACATGACATTGAAGATATTGTTCAATTGAAACAATGACTTGTAGAAAATGATATGCTTATTCATTAGTTACAACAGTTTCAATCAATTGTTATGCAGTTCTTACCCACAGAAGCACAAATTGCCATTCAAAATATTAGTCAACAAAATGTCAACCTAGATCAACAAAATGGGGAACAACAACAACAACAACAACAATAAGATGACTAAGGAAAAAATCAAGAAGACTCTCCTAATTATGATGATTATTAGTTAGCATTAGAAAAATATGAATCTATTTGAATTAACTATATATGAATTGTTTAATATATGTTAGTGTTGGATTATTATTATGATATAAACATTAGTGTTGTCTTTTAAATTTATTTTGGTGAAGCTTTTATCAATCTATATATATTGTTAAATAGGTAAAAATAATGTCAACAGGTTACATTAATAAATTTATAAAAAAATAAACATTCAAATAATATTTTTGACAGAACTTTCTATTGGAAATCAATTTTGTTATTATGACATATATATCTGTTGGAAATTTTTGATAGATATATTTGTCAGAAATTTCCAACAGATATATCCGTCAAAAATTTTTGATAGATATATCCATCGAAATTTTTTGATAGATATATCCGTAAAAAATTATCAACGGATATATCTATAAAAAATAATGACCATCAATTTCTGATAGATATATCTGTTGGAAATTCTTGACAAAATTTTTCACAGATATATTCGTCAAAAACTATCAATGGATGTTTATCTGTCAAAAATTATCGATGAACGTTTATCCATCAGAAACTATTGACAAATATTCCTACAGGCTACAAATATAGTTGTCAGAAATTACCGATGGAATAAATTATTTTCAATGCCCTTTTTTTCAACGGATTTATGCCCGTCAGAAATCCTCTATTTTTGATGGATAATACTTGTTTCCGACAGATTATGATCGTAAAAAAATAATGTTTTTCTTGTAGTGAACATACCGCTATAGTCTTTGACTCTTTGTTGCTTCGTTTACAAATTATTTATCTTTCCTTTTATGAGTTTTAATATATAATTGTCAACGACTTAACACCTTCCCAGTTTCTAACAACCAAGATAAATAAAGAGCAAGTAAACATTGAACTTTTTAAAATAGTAAAGTTAACATTTAGATTACCAACTTATTTCTTCTTCTAGGATTAGCTTTGGAGCCACTAGTATGTAAAATAACTTGCTTGTCTCGAATTTCTTTATTTCTCCTACAAAGTTCCTATAGGAAATGCAATTACAAATTTACAACTTGACATAGTAATCATATAATTAGAAATAAAAACAATTTAATTATGAAAACAAATATTTTACCGTATTAATTAATCAAAATGATATTATTAAGTTCATAAGTTACATTATTAATACATAATTTTTAAAAAAAATTATATTTATTAAGAAAATATATAATGGCACCCCTCCGACATGCCGGGCATCGACCCAGATTTCCTTTGCCACAAGCTCTCAATCAGTAAGGAGGCAAATTCGACCGCCCAACGGTGTCGGAAGGCCGGGGAAGAGAGGAAGGCAGCGATCGAAATTCACGTTGTTTGAGGCACATGTTTGGTGTCTTTTATATGCTTTTGTATCGGGTGATACTTTTACCTTGAGCTGGTGAAGTCGAGGTTCGAGGCCGGCCTTAGTTTTTTGCTTGGTAGGGTTTTTCATGGGAGTTCGGACTCGGCCGTAAATGAATGTGTTAAGATTCGTATTCGATCTCGAATTTTGACTAAGTAATTGTTGTGAGAGTTTATGAATGACCCTAGGCTGGAGTCAAGGTCAGAGTTCGACCCTAAGTCGATCGTGCCGGGGTTCGAATTCGACCCTGGTATCGAGAGTGGGGTGTGCTTTGCCAGGGTTCAGAGTTGTCCTCAGGTTAGTGGTTTGGACTCGACCTTAAGTGAATGATTGGATTAAGGTTCGTATTCTGTGGTGAGGTTCGTATTCGACCTCGGATTTGAATTAGGCGATTTGGTTAGGTTCGGACTCGACCTTTAAGCGGGGACATCGAGGCTCATACTCGACTTTATATGCTAAAGGAGGTTCGGGCGCGACCTCGGACTTTTGTTTGAGTGAGTGTTTCTGTGAAGGTTCGATGACCTTGATTTATTAGCGTCGAGGTTCTGAGCCGACCTCAAGCCGAAGTGTAGTAAATTGGATAAGTGGTCCATGTCCGCCCTTAAGTTTAGGGTCATGTATGTTTCGTCATGGATCGAACTCGATCTCGGATATGCGGTCGGGGCTCGGCCTCCGACTGAGTTACTGAGGTTCGAACTCGACCTTGTGGGGATATCGAGGTTTGTACTTGACCTTGAATTTGCGTGTTGGGGGCTCGTATACCCCTTCAGGTTTATATACTGGCTGATGGGGGTTCATGCGATTAATTGGTAAATAAACAAAGTTTAATTATTTATCACATTGGTTCTTGTATTTCAACTTACTTTGTGCACACATAAATGCCTCCAGACAACGAGCGACAACATAGTAAGTGGGTGAAGACACAAGATTGTAAGAAAAAAAAACGAGGCATTATAGGATTCTAGTTATAATTCCACACCAAAAGAACAATATGCAACAAGTAGGCTAGAATCGCCTATATTCATCCCCAACATGCTTCAAAATACCAAAATTCAGCATACCCTAAATCTTAACTTAGAATTCCACCATGCAATCACAAAATTATGTGATCAATCAACATACAACTAAAACAATCTATTAAGAATTAGAATTTAGCTTAGTTTACTTCAAAATCTTGAGAATTAGAGAGAAAAAAATGAAGAAGATGGGTTCCGAGCTAACTTTAGGAAGCTCCACCCAACACCTCAAAAATCTTATTCACAATTCTATAGGCCTAAATCAACAACACAACTACTCAATCTCTGGGGGAATGATCACATGTTGAGTGTCTTTTATGTATGATTTACACTCAACTTTTGGTACTCTTTTTGGTAATTATAGATATTATATATGTTATTTTACCCCCTTTATTTAAAGAATCAAGTTATACTAAAAGAGTAGAGGAGTAGTAGCAAAATCTTAAGGAATTTTCTCAATTTTTGCAGTTTTTTTAGGAAGGCAGAGATCCACAGCCATAGCTGTGGATCTGGAGCTCGAGCTGTGGAAGTCTGGGAAGAATATAAAGGTTCAGAAAGTTGGAGCTATAGCTGTG